ATATACATATACATATACATATACATATACATATACATACACATATATACATATACATATACATATACATATACATAAACACATACACATACACATATACATACACATACACATATACATATACATATACATTTACATATACATACATGCGTGCATGCATGCGTGCGTGCGTGCATGCGTGCATGCATGCATGCATGCATGCATGCATGCATACATACATACATACATACATACATACATACGTATAAGGTTCGAGTTTTAAAGGGGGCGCTGCCAAGGCACGGGCTGCCAATTCGCCTTCGGGGCATGTCCCTCTTTTGGTCTCAGTGGAAGCCGCAGTTCTGGACGTCAGGCCGGGAGCCTTTCCCCTCAACCCCGAAACCCGAAACACTAAACCCTAAACCCCAAACCTTAAACCCTAAACCCGGAACCGAGACCCTAATCCGTTTAGCTCCATGCTCTGAACTTGTCGCTCCCGGCCTCAAAGCCCTTCCGAAAGAAAGCACGGGCGAGCCAGGAACCGTCCAGTGGTTGAAGGAGGACTGCAGTCACCGGAGCCGCCTACAGTTGCATCGGAATCCTAGCATCGTAGAATGGAGACCAGACAACTACAGCAAGGAAGGGCTAAGCGTGTGCCGTGCAGGACTCCGGACAAAATACTGGAGTTTAGAGTCCAAAGTGAAACGATAGATTTGTGCAGCGGCATATCTGCACAAGATAGACCGCCGCACCCAAACAGCAGCACTGCGATCAGTCTAGCACTTGAGCACATGCCATCATCACCTAGATGTCAAGAAACTTATGAACAGAATTTGTAAGATCAGACTTCAAGCTGCTCCCTCCGGGTCAAACCATGTACTGACAAGCATGTATGCGAAGCCGACTAATGCAAAGTCTTATGAGACACTAATTTACTGGTACAAGCAGAGCAGAAGAGTTTCCAAACGCAGGGTCTACACTGGCGACAAACCCTACTTGGAGGTTCATGGGACTTAATAAGTACAGTTATAAGTACCCTTATCTGGGGTTATAAGTAATTATAGTTACCTTATTTATAACCCTAGTTACTCAGTCCCATGAACCTTTAAGTAGACTTCACTTGTGAAGAGCAACCGAGCCTCTGAGACGGAGCAGTTGAAGGCAACCCGAGGTGGGACGTCTAGACACCGACAGGTTCTTAGATTCAGCCTTCAGTTCTTTTCGAGAAAAAGATTTAGATCTCAGCGCATTTTTGCAGTGGTCAACCTGCAGACTTCCAACATCTGTACATACTTGTACCAGTTTGAAGTAGGCGAAGACTGGAGTTCTTAACGGAAAGCAACCTAGAGCAAGCTCACCACGTTGCAGGATTGGGGCATCACCCTGCTGCGCTGCCCGATGGCGGTTGAGGCCGGTCATTCTGGGCTTTCGAGCTTCCCAGAACCCAATATTGTAGTACAGTTTTGTGTACATTATCGAATGATATACTGTATTATCGTAGATTTTAGTATTTCTCGTATCATCAGATTTGCCTCCCAGGCCTTGAGGCCCAAACCCTTTGACCCGGAAGGCGGGTGGCTACCTGACCGACCCGGAGACCGAGGTGGCCAAGTTGGAGGTGCATCCGGGAGGAATTGGGGATACCAAAGCGGGTGCGGGATGAGTTCGAGTGCGGAGGTGCCGTTTGGTGCAACTCCGTCATGCTGTATCCGCATCGTTGATGCTCCCAGTTACGCTATCAACCTGAGGGAATTCGGGGCTTCATGTTTCTCGTTTCGCGACAGTCCCCAAATGTCATGCCTTTCTTGTCGTGGCACCTGGCATAGCACCGCTGCTCGTACACTGTGTGCCCTCGGAGGCTGTGGTTGATGCAGCTATTGCTGCTGGTATCTATGTCATCATTGATGCTTGGTGGAGTAGAAGAAGACCCTCTTCCCTCAGCATCGATGTCGCGTGCCATCAACACAGAGCCAGCGGAGCAAACTGCTATGTCGACTTCGCGATGTCATGGCTATGGGCCTCCCGACACCCCAAAACAAGCTGAGCAATCCCAGTCGGCAGACAAAGTTACTTCAGCAACTGCACAGGCTTGGTAGTTTTGTCAAGCTGGAACACGCAGCTTACTGGTGATGAGGACTGGCACGACCACAATGCCAATAACCATACGGAGGCTCTTCCGCCTGTTTTCGGTGAGACTGTACTGGCGGAAGCGAACTCTGGGGAGTGTGTCCTGTGATCCGCCTGATTGGCCGCAGCAAAGTGAGCTGTGTCAGGCGGCCAAGGGGTTCTTCACGCAGATGTCGCAAAAGCCTCTTTCTCGCGTTCTGGAGATTCGGTGTCTGTATGTTGTCATTAGGTGCAGGGTTCGATCTCCGGTATCTCCTGTGCAGTGGCTTGGTCAGAAGGCTGGGTTTGTCACACATCTTCCCTTTGAGGATGGGGCCAAAGCTTAAAATCGGGCCCGGGCAACGGACCTCGCAGCACTCGTTGCGTGATCGGGTCCGCAAGGTACGGGCAATATCCAAACGTCATGTTCGAGATTTTCAACGAGCCGATCTTCCAAAACTGGACCGAGACAATCAAGCCGTACCATGAAGAGGTGGTGGAGGCCGACACGGCTTTGCCCATCCGCTAAACCCTGCTGCCTAGTTACACTACCGAGGTGATCCGGCAAAACTCGAACAACCTCATCATCATGGGCACTCGAGTTTGGTCTCAGGACGTTTTCAGGATTGCAAGTCAGGAAGTCGCAAGCCCTCAAGAAACCAACGGTCCATGACGAGAAGCCCTTTTTTCGCCATGCGGCCGTAGGACGTGGATGGTGCTGCCGAAGACCCTGTAGAGGGCGTGAACCTCGCCTACACCATCCATTTCTATGCCAACACACACAAGCAGGCAGTGGGCTCATATCTTGAAGGCTTGAGGTTGCCATGCAGGACAGGAGAGTTGATTTTTGAGGAGGGATGCTGTGGATGAGCTGCACAAACCACCAGCAAGCCGTTGTAGTGGAGCCACCGAGCAAAACCCAGGGAAGGGGCAGCGCGAAAGAGAGAGAGAGAGAGAGAGAGTTGCTGCCTGCTGAGCTGAAGAAGCGAGCACTCTGAAAAAGCAGCCTGAAGGCGTTCTGGCCCAGGGGCTCGTGCTTCGTTTTCCTTCTTGCCACATCCCTAAGAACTCCCCTCTGAGCAGGAGCTGCGTGAGAAGGTGGTCAAGGCCCTGGAGGCCGTATTTCCAAGGGAGATCGGATCCATGCTGAATCGATGAAGATTCAGCACACTCCGCATGTCGAGGGCTGTAGAGAGCGCTGAGCATGGTCTCTTCTTCATCAGTGGAACTGGTGTTAGTCTGTGAGTTCTATTGCCGTGTCTTACAAGCGCCCAGGACTTGCCATAAGCCCAGGCTGAGACTCAGTCTCAGAGACATCTGATGAGATGATATGGGGGCAGTTCTGGATTCTGTTCTGTTCAGTTGCCTGGCCGCCACCTCTGTGTGGACGAAAAAAAGCGATTACCCCACAGGCAGGCATCGCCATCTTTGCGACCGAGTGTCCTGGCTGCATGCAGCATTCCTCGTCTCGACAAGACTGGGACTTACATCACCAGGATTAAAGTTTCGTCGCACTTGGCTAGACCATCTTGCGGAGGACGCGGAGTACTTAGAAGTGCATTTTACGTCGTGGCCTAGCTAGGGGAGCAGTTAATCCACCGGAATAAAAATATACTACTATAATGATCCGGACGGAGGACTGGGTGGAGGAGTCGAAGGGGAAAAGGGTTTGTGTCGTGTTCAAGAGCGACATACGGAGTGCGTAGAAACTTTCGTCCTACAGTCCTACCAAAGTAAGCCTGCTTGGGCCGTGTACAACCCTTTCTAGGGTGCCTGTGCATACAGCGGGGGCTGATTTTGCAGTGCAGTTACAGTACAACCCAGCATCCTTAGGACGTGGATACGGTTCCGACCTCGTCGGGCTGCCATCCCACATTAGCAGTGAGACGCCCTAAACCCTAAACCCATCGAAACTCTCCGACAGAGCCCCAGTGCGATTTCAGCAGAGATGTCAAGCAGCTTGGCAAAGAGTTCCGAAGGAAGAACCACTGAGGTGGGGAACCTGCGATGCCAGCGGAGACGGCACACTGAACCTCGAAGAGGTGCTGCCCAGTCGGCTGTCGGAGTCTTTTAGATGCCAGCTGGCCTCATAAAAGCATGCCGTTGCTCTGCTGAAAGTGCAACTATCCGTCCTTGCCAGACAACGACTTGGCTGGACTTCTTCGCTGCTCACAACATCTCGGATGCAAATTGGGCCGTGAGCGACAAGCAGGATTCCGAAGCCAAAACCCGCCTCACGCGACTCCCCGACTGACGCTTGTGGCATCAGAAGTGGCCGCCGACGTGCAATCGACACAAGCTGTATGTGCTTTCAGGAGGCATGCTCTGCACTCCTCCCAGGCCAGGGGTTTGTGAGAATCCTTGCGTTGCCTCAATCGGAGCCTGGTCGCTACGGCTGCTTCTTACCTGTGAAGGTGCTGACGGAGCAGGTCATTGGGAGGACTTGGGTTCTGGATCGGGTTGAGATGTGTGTGGAACTATTCCTGCTGAGTTTGTCGTGAAGTTTCTGCTGGCAGATTGACGTCTGCTCGGGCCTTGCAAAGTAAACGTCAATGCAAAAAGGTTCACACAGACATATTCCAGGCATGCAGCTGTGCTTAACGTCATAAGAAGATCGCGTTTACAGGCACACGCCCAGACACACATGCAAACTAATGTGTGAGGTACGTCGATATCAAAGCGTGAAATAGTCGATGCATGGGATATGGTAGGGGCGATTTCTGCTGCTACTCGATTCCTTGATGGCTTGTGAGGATTGTGAGCTCACAGAGTCGGGCCACTTCGTGAGGCAGGCTTTGTTTAGGCCCCAAATAAAACACGAGGAGCTGTAAGTGGGAGCTAGGATCCTACTATTTAGGGTACTATATTAGGGTCCCCTATTTTCGGAAACCCCTAAGTTGCACCCATCGACGCTTTCAGGGCTTCATTGCGAGGGGAGACCATGCCGGCCACTCTTCCAACTCCCTGCCCGAGGCTGGATGAGGGTGTTGGGTAGGAGCAGAGGGTTAGGGGTGCTCGGAATGCATAGGGGTAATGACTGGTTGCCACGTGCAGCCACAAAGCCCGTATATCCTGCGATAGTGGCAGCAGCTTTCGATGTCAGTCACATCATCAGTCCTTTTTCTGGTTTGCTTAGCAACAGAGCCGGCAACATTGATGAGAAGGGACATGAACCCGCTGACTTGGAAATGTGGACAGACATCGGGTACGCCAGTATTGTGATATGTTGAAAAGGCGTTTATTAGCAATGTGGTTGTCTGCGCCTCTTCGTGTTGTTGGCAGTTTTTTGTACCTATATGCAATGTTGACAACACAGATGGTTCTAATTTACGTCCTAACTTGAACCTTACTGCAATCATCCGGATCGTTCAGAGTATTCCATAATTATTCAGAGAGCATGTAGGAGGACGACAATTCCTAGAAGCTCCTTCTGCAATCTCAAGATTTGAGTTGGAGCTGACATCGGCATCTGTACCCTTTAAAAGCATTCAATCAAACTCAATCGTGGCTAGAGACCGACTTCTCGCGTGCTCAGGCTGACCACGCCTCCACCCGGCCAGTGCGCAACATCTACGGAGACTCGGAGTCAGAGCGCTTGCAGTGCACGCTGCAAAGCACAGACTCCTGCAGAAGCACTCCCCGTCCCGGCCCACGTTCCAGGAAAACTGCGCTGAGAAGAGGTGCTGTGAGGACATCGGTAGCAAGCAACATGGCTCAGATATTTCACGGCCCTCGTGCCAGGGCTGTTAATGCACACACCTCAAGAAGACTCCGCAGAGCCCAGACCCTAACCCCAAACCCTGAACCATACTCATCACTTGGGAGTTTCGAACCAAACAACCTCCCATATCCGAGGAGCTTATCAAAAGTCAGCTGGGACAAGGTATAACGCCCCAATCTTCAGAAACACTCACGCTTCGAGATGCCCTGAACCCCAAGCTCTCCGAGGTGCTACCAGAAGAACGAGTATTGGGCATCCTGCAAGGCGAGCTGCACACCAGGCCACCCAAACAGACATGGGCGGTTTCCGAAAATAGGGGTACCTTATTTTGGGGTCCTTATAATAAGGATCCTACTATTTAGGGTACTCTATTAGGGTCCCCTATTTTTGGAAACCCCCACATGGGCGGTTTGGTATTGAGGGTTTAGGGTAGTGCTGAGACGTAACTTCGGGACGGAGGCCACCTGGGGCGGTGTTGAATGTGAGCCAAGAGCGAGTAGAGCTGAGTGACTGCCCTAAACCCTAAACCCTAAACCCTAAACCCTAAGTCCGAAGCCAAAGGTGTGGACCCCAGTGATCCGCCCGAGTACGCCTCGCCCTGGACATGCGAGGCCGGCAGTGGGAAAGCACAGAGAGTTTTTTTGGGGAATAGGCCTTTGGAGGTAGGATTGGCGGCTAGGGGTGAAGGCTAACTCCCAATATCCAAACCACTGGCCTCAAAAACTTGGATGTGTCTTTGATGTGTAGCGTAGAAGGCTTAAATTCTCTTGGACTTCGGTGCTTTCCTACCATCTCGGAGCCAAGCTGCATGGCAGTGTGCAGACAATGTGCCATTTGCACAGTCAAGGCCGTCCAAGTTCCGACCTGCTTTGCTTGCAGGATCCGATCTCGACTGTGATGGCTCTAGTGCCTAGGACCCTAAGCGAAGGGAATCCGTCAATGAGTCAAGCGACCCATCCGACCTAACGACCACGAAACCTTCGCCTGGGCCTTAATGCGAAGTGATGTCGCAACGTTGCAGGTGCTGACACGCGATGCACTGAAACGCGATGAGGACACGGGCAGTCTGAGCTTCGCTACTTCGGCAATACTTTCGAAGCTCCTGTGGAGTGTAAGTGCTGGTGATGCCGGTTGTTGGGCGCTGAGACCCGTTGACTGACTCGATGCTTAGGGCCTTTGGTTTTTGCTTATGTTGCGGCGGCCTGTGCGCGTTGCCGTCCAGGATGACGACGAGGACCCTGGCGATGACGAGGACGATAAAGACGAGGACGATGAAGACGAGGACGATAAAGACGAGGATGATGACGAGGATGATGACGAGGACGGCGGCGAGGACGGTGGCGAGGATGACGACGACAACGAGGACCTCCTCTGTTCTGGGTTGTCTCGCTTTCTAGAGTGCTTGTTAAAGATGTGCCGAATTACGATGTGTGCTAGCAGCGGCAAGACGGCCGAAGCAACGGCTGCGGCCTCACGGCAAATCAACAGCAAGTCGCAAAGGAATTGACATGAGAAGTCCGCGTGTCTGTTGGTCCTTGTCAGTCTCGGGCAGATACCTTATGGTCGTGTAGAAGTGCACGCTTCATATTTTCTCCTGATCCTCTCGTACTAGTATCGAACTGCCTTCCAACATGGTCGGCTTTGCTTTACCCAGCCGGGCCAGCTGCATGAGGCCGACGTTCACATGCACCATGACTGGAAGAAAGTTACTGGCTGAGTGGCAGCTTTTCCATGCGACTGTGGCACTTGGAATAGTTGGACGGCATAATATGCCAGAAAGGAGCATCCTTGCATCAGAAAGGTTTAGCTCGCTGATTTTGAGCCCCGTGAAGGGGCACGGATTGACAACAGGTCCCGACGTGGACCCAGCATGGCGTGCATGCCACTGACATTTTTGAAGAGGACAGCTGCTTGGGGGAGCCTTAGCCCAGGAAGTGTCTAGCACTCACACCTGGCCTCCGTATCGCGTCCCATCCCTCATGCAGATCTGCCCTTGTTTCCAAGTTTAGAATTCAGAGGGCAACGGCCCTCGATGCGTCAGGACGGGACGCAAGGGAACAGGAGATGGGGAGTTGCTGGTCAGTAGTCTGCAGCAAAGGCAGTAGCAGAAGTCGACAGCCCGGGCCGAAGTTTGTCGTGGACGATGCTCGCCGGTTGCCAGTTGTAGCAGCCTTTTTCTCTGGTCTTGAGCAGCTAGGTCTCTCTGTTGAACAGCTTCTCTCCGTCAGGTAGACCCTTGCAAGATATTCCTGTACAGTACAGTGCTGCAAGGCCAGTGTCTGTGCAACAGAGACGGCACGTCTTGAAGCTAAGTGATCCGGCTCGGAGTCCCTTTTCAAACTTGCAGGGGCTCAACCAGCCCCGAACGAACCGAGGAATCTTCATGGAGTCCAAACCCTAAATACCGAAAACCTGAACCCTAAGCCCTACATATACTAAGCTCTGAAGCCTGAACCCTAAACTTCCTAAACCCTAGACACCACGCGCTGAAGCCTAAATCCTGAACCGCATGAATCTGCTTCTAGCCTGGCCGTCTCGGCTGTTGACCTGGTGTTGCCCAGGCCCGCTTTCAGCTCCTGCGAAAAATAAAAGTCGCTCCAAGGCTCCCTCAACTTCTTTAGTTTTGCTACGATCATACAGTAAGTAGTAGCCTCAGGTCTCGTATGGAGGAGGAGGAGCGTTCCACCGACCCAGTGCTGTCTGCGCACTGCGAGGCAGATGGTTGCTGTGCTTCCCAGTGATTTCCTGGGGGCGCGTTGAGGGTGTGGATTCAGCCCTCTGCCAGAAATCTTCAGCGGACGCGTGCAGCTATGCATGTGCTTACCAAGCCTAGAGGCGGCGCAGCATTCAACCGATCGGATCCCCTGAACCCCGCACGATCTTCCACCTCGAGCTCCAGGTTTTATGCAGGATCGGCGTAACTTCTTCGGACACTATACGATCTGTCCAACAGTGCCGAACGCAGACACAATGCTTGGAGAACCTTGACATCTAAACCCTAAGCCCTAAACCCTAAATCCCAAAGCCTAAACCCGAAGCCCCAAGCCCTAAGCCTTAACCCCCAAACCCCTAAACCCTCAACCCCAAACCCCTAAACCCGAAGCCCCCAACCCCTAAACCCCAAACTCCCCAACCCCTACACCGAGAATCCGAACAGCGAACGCCGGCGCTTCGGCGCCTCCAGTTTCCTTTAGGCCGCTGGCTTGGAGCTCGCGGTTCGGACCTGGCTCCTTGCCTGCGTGAGTGCAGTAGGGTTTAGGGTTTAGGGTGTAGGGTTTAGGTTTAGGGTTTAGGGTTTAGGGTTTAGGGTTTAGGGTTTAGGGTTTAGGGTTTAGGGTTCTCAAAACTAGGGTCCCTTGAAGGGTCCTTGTTATAAGGGTGCCGTACTCTATTCGGGACCGAAAAAGGGGCCCCAATTTAGAGAACTACCCTTCGGGTAATTCTTTGAATCAGGGTCCCTGCTTAGGTCCTCAATATAGTACGGCACCCTTATAAAAAGGACCCCCTATGATATACTGCTCCGTATGGCATTACACAGTCATAGAACGCACGATAGTGCACCATAATATGCAACAACATACTTGAGTATACTATAATATACTATAATATACCATAAATATACACTGCAATATGTAACATGATCTTCCCACAACCTTCAGGGTTTCGGGATTGTTGATGTTCTTGTTGCTGCTGTCACTACCGTCACTGCTACTCCTGCTGCTGCTGTCGCTAGCGCCACCACCACGATGACGACTACTGCTACAGTTAAAGCTACAGCTACAATCACAACAGCAGCAGCAGCAGCAGCAGCAGCAGCAGCAGCAGCAGCAGCAGCAGCAGCAGCAGCAACAGCAACAGCAACAGCAACAACAAAGAAGCAAGAACTACTACTACTACTACTACTACTACTACTGCTACTGCTACTGCTACTGCTACTGCTACTGCTACTACTATACTACTACTACTACTACTACTACTACTACTACTACTACTACTACTAGTACTACTACT